TGACTGGAGAACTCTTGGATTAAACAGAGACGTGCTTGGATTTCGAGGGCGTCAGGTCGCTCTCTCTCGAGTGGTTGTGCAGCAAAGTGCTGTAACTGTCTCCATCTCAAAGTCACCCCTCCCATGATCACGTGGTTTTTTTTTGCATTTAAACAGCGCCGAAATTCGCCGGTAAGGGACACTAACAGCTACCACTGCAAAAACGAACAGCATGAACAGTGATGTGATTGGTCTAAGCCATTTTGGAGCACCTTTTGGAGCAGCCAAAACTGTGTTTTGGAGCAACAAATGTGGTCTTTGGAGCAACCAAAACTGTGTTTTGGAGCAGCAAAAGTGGATTTTGGAGCAGCAAAAGTGGATTTTGGAGCACCCAAGACAGTGTTTCGGAGCAGCAAAAGCGGCTTTTGGATCAGATTTTCTTAGAACAATAAATGTATTCACGCTGTACAAAAAAAAAGGACACTTCGTGTTGTGTTCTGACGTGATGTGTTGCGATGGAACTCGCTGCTTGTGTGTTTACTTCTGAGACATCCCACAAGTGTGCAGTGCTGTAGGCGTTGCCGAGCAATTCTGAAAAACCGCTTGCCACCGTTTAACTGGTTCCCGACGTGCCAGATTTTCGTCAAAAGTAAGCAAACGTAAAACAATGGATTGCAAGTGTCCCGGCTGGTGCCTCTGTCGTGCAATTATGTTCACATGCACGTGAGGGCAACTTCGGCAGGCTTGCAGTTGCGCGTGCTTCGTCGCGCGAGCGGAGACAACGGTTGTTCGATCGAAACCGAAACCGTGCCACGCCGCTCCGTCGTCAACTGATTCCCGAAATTGCATGCAAAATGTAACTGTCGAGCATACGACGAAAAGAAGTCCAGCGGCGCGTTATTGCCAGGCCGGCAAACAAACTACAAGCTAAAAAAAGAACAAAAAAACTGAGTTAATCAATGCAAGACATGGCGCACCAGGGTCAAAAAGTTTTTTGGGCAATTTGTGCAACGACTGAACTCGACACAAACGAGCGCGCTGTGCGGGTTTAGCGTGTGAACTTTGCCTTCTTTGCTTTAGCTCACTTCTCTTCACCAACTTTTTTCGTGGCAGATTTTTCACGTCCCGGGGTTCCTCTCGAAAGAAAGCCCACCGAGAGAAATCAATAATTCACACACAGCAGTCTTCGAGTTAAAGAGAACCTTGTAGTAACGTATGGTTTGAACAAGAATGTTGACGAACATGCGGCGGTGCTTAGTTTCATTTTGGAAAGCACCATATCTGCAGCGACGCTGGGACGGCACCACCCAACGTCGCGCGACCACGTTGACTGGGAAGCAGGGACCAAATACAGTTACCTCACGGCCATTGCTTTGAGCAGCGAGTGCTTCAGCTCACAAAGAAGCTCCCGCCGCGCAAAAACGTGGTTTCGTTTCACAGCACGACGGCATGGCTTGTACCTGGCACGCTAGCGTCGGAGCACCCGCACGCACCCGCGTCTATTGTTAAAAATATTTGAAAAAAAAAAAAAAAAAAAGACACGAGACGAGACCCACGAGAGCGCGAAACGCGAGACAGCGGGAAAACCATGCAAGACCGGACGGAGGATTGATGCAGGGTATTTTGTGCCGGGCGGCCGCTTGCGCCACATAGCACATGCATGCTCAATTATGGTACTTAGTTTAGTTTCGGTCTTAATTGAATTTTTGGCGCAGGCTTGGCACAGATTACCCGTATTTTGGCAAAATGTAGCAGGATGTAGCAGGGTTAGCCACTTGGCGCAGCAATCACATCACTGCATGAAGCGTCATCCTCATTCAGATGCCGAGAACACAAACTCGGCATCACCTATACTCGCATGAAACCAAGTACTTGATCACATCTCACAAGCTTCAGACACAGCAGACTACATTACTGGCTTAATTTATTATTAATGCAAAAGAGCAGCAATCAGCAAACAGGCTGGATGGCACACGAAGGTAACTAGCCGAATCCCGGAGAAAAGCTCACCGGAGAAAAGCTCACCGGAGATAAGCTCACCGGAGAAAAGCTCACCGGAGAAAAGCTCACCGCAAAACCTGCGGATGCGGAGAAAAGCTCACCGGCCCTTGAGCGTATGCGGAGAAAAGCTCACCGATTTTTTTCTTCTTCTTTTTATATGGAGGTTGTTAAATCATGCGTAACATATCTCAATTCATTATCATTAAAATTTCTCAGCTTTGTAAAAAAGAAAATGTTCTTTTTTGTATTATTTGTCAAGCTTATTGGGTATATTGCTCTCAAATTAATAATTGCGGGCGAGTGTTTTCTTAAAACTTCATGAACTGGAAGAACAGGAAAATGTTTCAAAAATTAATAATGTCTGCCTAAAACCTAACGTCAAAACTAAATGCCGAAAATCCGAAAGTGCATGCGCAACAACGCGGTGCCTGAAATTCTATTTGAAGCTTTTGTTAACCTTTGAAACCAGGATAAAACAGTCAGTAGGATATCAAGGTTTCTTTCTTCTACGGAGAAGCAGGTTTTCTAGCTGTTCGTGCTGGTGTTTCCACACGTTGCCTTTGTATGATAGTGCACTTCTACGGTGAGCCACCCATGACCTTTAGGCTGCACAATGTCACCGTTGTTACTCGTGATCTATACAAGAACTAGTCTTCTTTAAGGTAGCAAATAAGGCGAGTTGGTAAACGTCATACATTAAGAAAACCGCTCACACGACGACGACGGAGTGAAGACAAGTACAACAGGACGAAGCTGTTCTCGCAACTGAAGTTTTGTTAGTTAAATTAACAGAAAGAAAACAGCGTAGCCGACACTGATTACATCAACACCTACTTATCTATTAGGCACTACGCAATATTTGGAGCTGAAACTGTTCACACACGCTATTCATATTAGCTCGCAAAGAACAAACCTCTTTATTTGAGAGAGCCACCGACGGCGCACTGTCAGTTGTCAATAAATTGTTGTCTTTTTTTTACCGGTAAGCAATGTTCTGATTTTATACCCCCCCCCCCCCCCCCCCCCCTTTGCGGCTTCATTAATATACAAAATGGGTGATTACTAATTTCTGAGAATTTAGTAAATATGCCCAATGAACTTCAAGGATATCACAAAAAATAGGACATATTTTCAATGAAGTGACGAATGCGAATTGTGTTAAATTACCACGTTTGACGCAGAATCCGCTAAGTTAAAGAAAAAATCTGTGAGCTTTTCTCCGCATCTGCCGGTTTTGCGGTGAGCTTTTCTCCGGTGAGCTTATTTCCGGTGAGCTTTTCTCCGGTGAGCTTTTCTCCGGTGAGCTTTTCTCCGTCGCCCAACTAGCCAGCCAGCCAAGATAGACTAAATCAAAGCAGACCAGCCCACGTAAAGAAATACCAGTAGAATAAAGCGTAACAGAAAAAGCATTGCCATAAAAACAGCATACATTAAATCGAAAGTTTGCTTTTGTCCCAGCCTGTGGCAAACGCAGACCTTTTCTTCGAATTTACGAAAATGTTGGCGAGCTTATCTCCAGCCATCTTCTCTCGGGCTCGATGATTTCCAGGTAATTTTTTCCCACAAGCAATTCTAGGACCATTCACATTCTTGAAACTTCGCCTATAGCGCTTTATTTTCTCTTTCGATGCAGATTTATTACGATGCTGCAATTGTGATAAAATTAAGTGTACTTTGATGCATGCTCAGAACACAACTCAGCATTTTTCTCTTCTCTACCCCATTTATCAGATTTTTTTACACAGCTGCAGGGAGGCTAGTCGGACATAGCATACTAAATTGTGAGGGCAGGCCATTGTTTAGGTCAGTGGATCTCAACCACTTACGTGTCGGGATTCCTTCTGGATCGGTGGAAGTGATGGGGGAGCAGTATTGAACAACTGCACTGACAAAAGGGGTAAATAAAGGAAACTAAATGCATGCAAACCAACTTTTCATCCCTGAAACAGAGAATAATCAACCCCTACTCACTCAGTGCACATGATTTCATCTACTTAGCTTTGGGGAAGCATCTATAAAAAAAAAAAAAAAAGCTTTAGTGCTCGGCTTGACTGATGGTCCAAAGCAGAGGTCTCAAACATGCGGCATGCAGCCCGCGACTCTCTGGGAAGCTTTCCGCAAACATCCCACGGATGCGAGGCCCCAATCACATGCCTCGAGCGCTACATGCGTCATAATTAAGTTTTATATCGTCGATTCATTTTAGCTCGAAAAGGAGCTTGGCTCATATAACTTGTTCATACATTTTGCATTATTCTGTTTTCTTTTGGGCTGAGTACTAGTGCTTTGTCTAAATATTTGCCTCTCAGCCCTTTCTTCTGTAAATCAACCAGAACAGCAATACCACTACTAGGCTACAACTGCGAGCTCTTTGCTCAAAAAGGCACCACAGCTGAACAAACTCGCTCAGCAGGAGCAACTACCAAAGTCAATGCTATGAGCTCAGGCTTCTGGCCGTCAAAAAATACAGGTATTTTTTTATAATGTTATAAAAATTTCTAGGAAAACAAAAACTGCTCTATGAAGAGATATTGTTCATGCATACTGAGCAATTGTGTGACAGTGCAAGGACGGTGTGCTTGCTCTTTTATCTATTAAAAACTGCCAGTACGTTGATGATTTTAATCTTATAACATCAGGGTGGGCCCAAAGTAGTCGTATATGCAGATTAAAGCTAAAGATGGCAAAACGACAACCTTGCAAAAAGCAGAAAGCGCGAGGCTCCACTAGAATACCACTGGGGTTTCGGTGAGGCAGTTGGCGTTTTTGCAATGCGAAACACCCCCCAGTTAGCCCTTGACCTTTCGGGGGTGGTCTATCTGGCCCTTACACTCAAATGTGTTTCAAACCGCTGGTCTAAGGCTTCGCGACCTCAAAGGGTCTGCAGACCCCTTCTAAGAACTGTTGGTTTAGGCATTCTTTACCGTAAAATTATTTAGACAGAAAAGCGAGGTCAGCAAAGTGGAGGTTCTGCCCACACAGTACCTATTTCAAAATTAGGCAAAAAATAGCAACACGACTCTGTGCAAGTCAACGTTTTATTAAACCCTTTGCCACAACTTGTAACACTGCAGAATTAAGAGCCATATATTACAACAGCGGGCAGCTCCACAAACTTTGAGACCCCTACAGAAACAAACTGCAGTCGAATTACCGCTCAGAGCCTTCATTGCCCTGCATTAGCAACAGGCATAAATATCTGAAGCATAAATATGCGCAGAGGAAAACAAAACATGTTTCTCCGGCCAACGACAATACTGATCCATTCCGCTGGTCCCATGCTTTCCCTTTGCAGCACTCTTCCTGGGCACACTGTAATGCTGGGGTTGGTGCCACAAGCACACACTACTGACTAGCCCAAAACTTACAGGATGCATCAAACTTGGAAAAGTAGAAAAATATATGCTTTCCCAACAAACAGGAATTGGAAAGTCTTCCAGATTGACTAGGCCAAGACAAACACTTTGAGCTGCTTCGGTACGGCAAAACCACCTGTGAAACAGAAACGGCCACCAACGCCCGTTGGCCACTCAGGGAGCGGCGGCATCGAGGGACATCCCATCGTCTTGGCCACCATTGTCCACTCCTGCAGTGGGCAAGGAAGCCTGTTGTCACATCATTCACACGTCACTCAACAGCTATGTCACGCAGAGTATAGACGCTTCACACATGCACCAGATTAGAGCCGCCATTGCTGACCTTCTCTTCTCTCACCCAGATACCGAGCCACTGAAACTGGTGTTGACGAGCTCCACAAAGGCCAAAGCTCGGGAGAAGGACACAGTAGAATCAAACGTGGCAATAACCTGGCCTGCAATGGTAATGATGATGTGAAGTAATCGCAATAAGAGCAAACTAAAACTGAGGGTCGGTTGTGGCGGCGCCCATGAGAAGCTGCTGCAAAGCGTCTACACCCATTAAAGGGGCCACGATTTTAACGTGGAATTTGCAGCCTGTACTATTAATACTGTTTATCTAGGCACAAGTGAGAGAAAACACGCCACCTTACCTCGAAATGCTGAGATTCCGCTGCATAATCGTAAAGGAACAAACGCATTATTTGCCGATCTGTAGCCGCGCACAATGGTTACAGAAACTACAGTGTTGTACCATTGGGAGTACACGTAGGTCAACAAAATCGGTCCTCTCCACAGCTACACTTGGCCTCAGTCCCGTGGCGAACTGTCTTTTGTCTGTACTGCTCACTCGCTGCGACCTTTGCCAATACTAATCCTCAAAAAGTCAACGATTGCGGAGGGAGCGGGTTTTACAAACCACTGTTTTGAAAACCTTGCAAGTTCACAATGAAGCTTCTAAAAATCCCATTTTTTATTTTCTTAATTTCTTCTTTACAGCAAGGTATTGCAGTCGTATCTGAGTCGAAATATTACATCTCTGATTATTATTTTCTTATAAACCATTACAATACCTTGCTGTGAATAAAAAAAAAATTGGGTTTTTGAAAAAAAATTGGTTTTGAAGTTTCAAGGTTTTCGAAACAGTAGTTTATTAAATGTATGCAACACTGCAATTTAAGATACAATGTCAAATGTTTAATCAGTAAAAAAATGAATTCCCAGCTTTTGTGTGATGCCTATATGAATAAAGCATATTAAAGTTCGAAGTTCATTAAAGTTTGCCAAATATTGCCGAAGATTGTCAGAGACACAATTCGACATTGTCTTACAAAAAATTCAAAATATGAAAAAAGTAAATTTGGTCATTAAGTACAACCACCCCATTTTTAGATTGCCCCAAAAAAAGTTTGAGTGCAGTTACAGGAGAGAGGAAACGGAAGAAGGTCAAACACATGATTCCCGGTAGGCAGTCATGGGCACGTTACTAGTAAAAAGTAACAGTGTTACAGTTACAGTTACCTAAGAGGAAAAAGTAACTCTGTTACAGTTACAGTTACCGGTTTCAAAAAGTAAAGTGTTACAGTTACAGTTACTGCAAACACAGTAACGCCGTTACTTTCGCGTTACGGTAAAAAAATTGGACACAAAAAAGCACAAACTAAAACAATATTATTCTATTTATTACACTATAGTGAGAAGAAAGGTTAACTGAGAAATTAGAAAATTGTAACCCGAAGGGTGTTTCTTGTTTGCGTCATTCGCCGTTTCATCTTTTTGGTGTGCAAAATTTATTTGCAATAATTGTTATAACTTAGAATCAACCGTTTTTCAAAATTGTCATCGGCCCGCGTCACTGAACGTTTTGGTTTATTTGTCACTCCGAAACGAATGAGGACAGAGAATGTCACATAATTACCTTATGGGATATACTTGGTCGGAAGCAGGCCTAAACATAGCAGGTCAAACAGCTTCGGAAGAATAAAGGGGGAAAGGAGACAATTAGCTTCCGGTGTTCTACGAGTGTACGACGACCACCGCGGCGTTTGTGTCCGAAACGCCAACTGTAGAAGTCATGTTTACTCGAGCGGCTCCGAAGAGAATACAAGCACCGGCTTTCTGCACACTATGGGGACGGCTGCCTTGAAAACTAATAGGGATAGGAAACGGCGAACGGCTGGGTGTAAAAACGACAGCACGAACATATCCCAGACACAGTCCAGACGGAACACTCGGAGACATCGCAGGACCATCGACACCCACATATGGTCCCACAAGAGAAGAGTGAGCCAAAGTCGGTGAAACAGACATTGTTTGCCGCCTCTACAACCGCGGGCGCCGCTTCCTTTATCTCCCGGTTTCGTGCTGACTCCTCTCTCGTCCATTCTCGGTCGTGGGCTAAACCTGACCATTTTTTGTTTGTTTAATGCGTGGCCACGCTTCTGTTTTTCTTTTTTTTTTTTTTGTCAGCGAGGAGTTTTGAGAAAAATGCTTCAAGATGGCAATTTCACAATGTCCTGGGCAGTGGGTTCTAATTTATATAGTAGAAAAAGTAACTGTAACAGCCTAAACAGTTACAGTTACCCAATAAAAAAAAAAGTAACAGTGCTACAGTTACAAGTTACCAGGATTAAAGAGTAACGCGTTACAGGTAAAAGTTACCGGAAAAAGTAACTAGTTACCGGTAACGCGTTACTAGTAACTAGTTACTGCCCCAAGACTGCCGGTAGGCAAGAAGTTAGTCAGTTTTCCCCCTGCCACTTCACTAATCTATAACTTCAAACTTAAAAACGGAAAATTGTGCCCTCTTTCGTTTCAGAAATGTGCCAAAACATTTTTTTTTTTTTCAAAAATAAAAATTATTATTTTTTTTGTTTTTTTTTTGTTTCTACAATTTGAGATGAAATAACCCTAATGCATATATTTTGTTTCGTGTTTGCTATGTAAATATAACCAGTGCTATTCCAAACTTTTGTCGTTTAACTATTTCATGAACTATATGTGCTAATTATGATTTGGGTGGGGGGGCACAGGCATTCTGTAGGTTTTAATGCAAAAGCATTAACTGTCTCATGAAGTGAACTGGCGTTACCAGCTTTTGAAGCCGCGCACCAAATGGCGCTTCAGTTCCCCTGTCCCATGAAGCGAAGCCTGTAGCCTGCGGCAGCGATTGGATGGATAGGCACAAGGCTCCCATTGACTGGCGCGCGTCATAGTTTCAAGGAATGCCGCCCCATGGCACTGCGGGCCCCACGCCGGCAGCGCACCAATAAAAGGAACACGGTGGAGCGTGCTCGGCCGCTTCTGCTCCTCTCAACGGCAACGAACATGGACGCCTCAAGCATCTACATCATCGGCGGCCGCAACCTCGACAGTAGCAAAACCTGCCCGTCCTTGGAAGTACCGTATTTACTCGAATCCAACGCGCCGTCGATTGTAACGCACACCCATTTTTCGAGGTCCGAAATAAAAAAAGAAAACGCTATGACCTCGATTGCTATGCGCACCAGATTTTGTAGGTTGGATACAGAAATGAAACTTTTTCTCACTTGGAACAACGAAGGTTTATTCCAAATGCTTCAATCTTGCGATGAAATGAACGGTGCTGTCTCTCGCCGGCAAGGTCGTCATTACGACGACGGTCTGGTGCAGTGCCCGTAGGGCGGTATGCATCACTCGTCATCGTTGTCGGACGACTCCTTAACGCTGTCAGCACCTTAAGGGGAAACACTACACCGGAAGGCTAACGTTTGAACCGTTTGTCTTATTTGCATGAAATTTGCAGGGTGTACTCATAGCACTGGACAAGGAAGCTGTGGATATTTTCAACCCTATAAATTTATCCCACGACGAGTTACATAAAAGTTCATAATAAAAAAATGTATCTGCTGAGGAAAGCTATCGTTTAGAAAGGGTAATGAAAATGGCCAGTTTTTTTACTGGAACATACAGCAGAATACTTGCTTCAGACGACTATGAAAAGAAATTTCAAAAATTATAAAACTTATTCACAAAAAAAAAATATGGAAAAAAGCTTTTTTTTTTTTTGTGCGTTTGATTTAAAAGAAATATAAACTTTTCATAACAAAAGAGCATAAAAATGCAGAAAGTAAGTTCACAGTCGTGTTCTCCAGAAATTTTCAATATAGAAAAACCAAAATATATCTGCACGCATAATTTGATTATGAAATGATAGCTTCCTTGAACTGATATTTGACACAAAGTGAAGCTGAGATAAATGGACTTGAAGTTTCATGATGATGTTTTAAAAATCTATTTTTGCGTCTTAAATGTTAGAAATTCTTTCCAGCTGTGTAGGTGATGTCTTTCTCAAACTTCTTCTGATATACTGACACTGCTTTCAGCTATTTTCACTTGTGGATGACGAGTGCTACGCAGTGCAGCACACCTCACCAACATATAAAGAATAATTATTTTTTACATGGTTTGTCAGTGCACATTGACAAGACTTTGTGAGAGTGTTCCTTGCTATCCATACATGCCAAAAATTTGCAGTTCTGAATATGCATTTTTTGGAAAAAAAGGTGCAATTCAAGGTAGCGTCCCCCCTTAAAGCATTTCATCTTCGGTGCCGTCCATAGCGTTAGAAATTCCGCACTTCTTGAAGGCCTTGATGACCATGGCAGACGGCATTGTGCACCACGCATCTTTCGCCCATCCGGCGAAGTCCTGCAGCGACGCAAGTTTCTGGAACACTAAACGCACGTGATGCGGCCCGATTTTCATCACTCTCCGCGCACAATATTACTTTTCTTTTGAATCCAGCATCATAGTAAGCGCGGCGTGTCTTTGCAGTGGGAACTTCCATTCTGATATGAATGCAAGAAACACACGAGCTGGCTACGCTTTAAGCCTCTTAGCTTCTCAGCGCGTAATGGAGCGGCCATTCTGAAATGTCGATGGTGATATGGTAGCGCAGTTTTGGGTCGCACTCGATTCTAGCGCGCATGCTATTTTTGGACCTATTTCCCCAAAAAAAAGGTGAGCGTTAGATTCGGGTAAATACGTACACCGCAGACAAACTAAGGGACGGAATAACGCAGCACAACAAGCGAGGAGGCAGGCAGCGAAATGCACCATCGTTGTCAAGTCTCCGAATACACGGCGGGCGGAACGAGCAGCAGCGCAACGCTCTAGGAGACAGAACAAAGCCTTTCGAAAGTGTCAGGCGCGAGCGGATTGCGATTCGAAGCGTCTCACGTGGCAAGAGGACAAGGCCCTTCACCAACGCGAGGCGGAGGCAATCGTCGCAGGCGGCATTCTTTCGCACTCGTAAGAAGTGCTTAGGTGTCCTCAGACTTCTTTTACCTGCATTCTCGATATCTTGCAAAAATAGCTGTCAAATATATTTGAATTGATTAAATTTGATATCGCTGTGGGCGTTCAATGGGACCAACATTCTTGAATGTGACAGGAAACATATTAACCTAAAATATTTTAGTTAGGTTCTACTGTATCATTAAAAAGGACACATTTCAGCCAGGTTTTCAACTATGATGTTTGCTGACAAAACAGAAATGCACAAAAAAGTGGCTGGCACAGATAAAAGGCTTTACCACAGGCCTGCACCCCTCCCGCCCCCCCCCTCCCCAAACCCTATCGCCACTCAAGTCTTTCTGGGAAATAAAAAATAATGCAGTTAAGACTCGATCTAAAGAAGTTGAGGGGAGCCGCAAAATATTTAGTTACATAAAAAGTTTCATTAAACAAAAAAAAAAAAAAAAAATTCTGTGCATTAGTTGCAATAAATTTCAAGTTGAAAAGTCTAAGTTCTCAGAGAGCTACTGCACTACCGCAGTGCCGCACACCAAAAAAAGTGATTTACACGCACATGAAATCAGTTTGTGAAGGTGGTCCGCACCCCTAGTGCGTGAAAGAAGGGCACGAAAATTTATCTGCCTTTTCCTAGAGAGCTTACACATTTTTCTAAGGCCATTGTCTGTGTCCCTTCGTGAGAAAACTCCAAGAGCCAGCCGGGACTCACCTTGAAGTTCTCATAGTCATAACTCACGAGACATGCAAAAGGTGCATGCCTTTTGCATGTCTGGTAGTGCAACCAAGAAATATTTCAGCATTTTCTTCGAGAGTAAGCACTTCTCTTTCTCCAGAGGGGTTTTATTTCACCGCAATCCGGAGCAGACTACAGGAGGTCAGCACTAACTTCAGATATTGCACTCATCACATCGCTCGCTCGCTAGACCTAATGCGAGGCCTAGTGCCGCCATCTGTGCCATCTGTCGCATGCAACATAAAACCAATGAAACAACTGTCCGTTAGCACTATCTAGCGCAAGGGTGGCCAGGCGGACATATTCAAAGAGCCATAAAATGGAACCATTTTACGTGAAGAGCCGCAATAAAAGGGTGGGGGAATAAGGGGGGGTGTCACTGTTTCCGCCTTTATTTTTCCTGCTCAGTTGGTGGCCACATCGAATTCCACTCAGGAAGTCAGGAAGCAATTGCTCACTACGTTTCCTTATTGTGAGTTTCCATTTGGAAAACAAGGACCTCGTACAATGTGTAAGTGATGGCTTAAAGCTGACAAAATGCAAGCTGCCTTAATTAATTATTGAATGTGTTTATCTATTTACTTGTGTCTGTCTGTGTTTGTTTGTTTGGGGGGTGGTTAGGTTTACCAGGGAGCCACGAACCACACTTCAGCCCCACAAGAGCTGCATGATGCTTGCGAGCCACGGCTTGGCCACCCCTTATCTAGTGTAATGAACTCAGCCTGGAGTGCAGGGTTTGTCCTTACGAAAAAGCAAAACTTGGCCAGCAACAAACTGCGAGGCATTAAAAATAAAATGCATTTCCATTCCAATAACCTCCTTTTCCTCTTCTTTTTTTTTTTTTTTTTGGGGGGGGGGGGGGTGGGGGGTGGGAGGGGGGGGGGGGGAGGGAGATGTTTTTGCTAGATTGGTTTGATGGTCAAATTTTTTTTTCTCATTTCAAGTTTATAAAAGCACTGAGCCCCTTGGACCTTTGTGGGGGCACTAGAATTTGCTCATAAAATTGAGTTTCGCAAAACAAAATTTTAACTGTAGCCTCCTGTGCAAGCACCCCTGGTATACTGAATAGAGCCTGAACTGAAAAGTATAAGGACACCCAAAACATCTAGACCTTGAGAAAAAAAACTGGTCCGTATGCTCCACTTCCGTGCGAGAAATGCACAGGTGCACAAGCATAGACCATCTTGGCGTGCACTAGGCAAACAGCAGTCTGGCACACCACAGCAGAGCCCTTCTCATTGAGGAGGCAGAGGACCAAGAGATGAAAGCGAAGCATTTCTACAGCAATATTCGGCTATTCGTGGAGACCCAGTCTCCTTTCGGGCCTTGCTTAGACAAATCCCAGTGGATACGACGTCTAGCGCTCAACTAAGAGGTGAGAGGTGCCTTACCTAATAGTAGAATCTCCTCAATCTGAGAGCACAGCTCCCTCTGCAAATCCAAGAGCTCGGCCATCTGGGGTGAGAGAGCGAGGGTAAGGCAGTGTGCAATGCACATGGCAAAACTTCCCTTTTTCTCTTCTCTGCAGAAGAAAGTGCCATAGCTGCTACATTTTCTGACAGTGCAGGAACTCAGAAAGCATGGCAGGGAGAGATCTGCCTGCTCGCAGATAGGTAGATTAGATAGAGAAAACACACTTTCAAATGGGTGACACAATGGGTGCATTCTCTGTTCGTACACCTCCTGGGGCACAACTAGTGTTACTGAATACAGTATAGACCACTTACAATATAACCACTTATAGTGCAGGACCGGGTATAACGCGGCTTTTTTAAACCACCGGTTCGCCTCCCATAGAACTCCAGGTATTTACATACCGCTTAAAATGCAGGCACGCGAAGGGAAATGCCGGTTATAGTGCGGTTTTTGGAACAGCGCGCCGACTGAGCGGCGCAGCGAGCACGCTTCCCTGTGCGACACTAGATAACGGCGCGAGCCGCAATGGCCGCAAGCGGCACTCGCGGGGCAAGGAGGTTGCTCGAAGAAGCGGGGAGAAGCGAAGAGAGAGGCTTCAGTTGCCATAGCGACGGAGGGACGCATGCACATGTCGTTCACATGCGTGCATCCCTCCGCTGCGTTGGAAACAAACAACCGCAACGACAGACCAATCGCAGGTCGAGGAGAAGCGTTCGCGCGTTGCATGCCGGTCGCGGGCCGGCTGCTTCTATCCGCGAACATGGCGTCGGTTGTGATCGTCGACGTAGACGGCGTTAAAGTGAACTATGGCGTGGTGGAAGCTCATCGGTCCGCGTAAAGGCGCTATCCTTGACTGTGAATTTTCGTTGTGTGTCGCTATGATAACCGAGCACGTACTAGAAGGAAAGATCCACCTACTCGTGCGGCGATGTTCTGGCGGCACTCTCAAGACGGCAGAAACGCCCGTGTCGTCGTGTTTGTTTACTTCGACTACAGTGGTGCTTTCAGAGCATTTGTGTTTTCGAACATCGCCCGGATTTCTTATTTGGAGCATTTCATGCCTGTGCTCAAGTTGAAGGTATTACTGGCACGTACCGTATAAAGGATGCGAATTTTCACGCGTTTTCATCGCCGGATAAAAGTGATTAGGGTTAGCAATCCTGAATGCTCGCAACGTACGTCCGCAACCCGCAACGCCGTGAAAAGGCTGCACCAGGCAAAAGTTGCTCATTTCTTTCAAAATGTGTAACACACTTGAGAGAAAAGTGTACTAGTCTGGTGAAATAAAGACTTTCCTCAAACTAAGCTTTATTTTTCATCTAACATAAAATAAATTCTTTTAAAAAGGTAAGTTGTCTCATGGCATGTATTTTGGCCTGAAAAATTGATGTTTTGGTTATAGCGCGGTACCGCTTATAGTGCGGAGTTTTGCGACTCCCGCGACATACGTTATATGCGGTCTACACTGTACACTGTGTTAGAGTACCGATTTCTCTTTCTTTAGTGCTTAGCCAACAGACTCACTCTAGTTGAGTATGCTTTGATTTGCTGCGGGACCATTTGACGGCAAAAGTCACGTGATATGTGTGCCGTCACTATCACCATCATTGTCTCAAATCGCCACAATGATCCACAATTTTGGATCTAGCCAGCTTCTGCTGCAACACTCCAGGTCGCTTCTTCGCAGCCGCTTAGTGTTGTAACATACATCTTTCTTGGGAATTGTAAATGTTGCATATTTTGCAGTTCCAACATGCCTGGCTGCTGTGCCTTCGGGTGCAGAAGCAGGAACGGTAAAAGAATCTCCTGTTGCTTTCAGGAGCGAGTGCTTCAGCTCGCAAAGTAACTCCCGCAGCGTAAAAATGTGGCTTCGTTTCACAGCATGACGAAATGGCTGGTACCCGGCACGATAGCGTCCAAGCGTCCGCACACCCGCGTCTATCGTCCCAAATATATATATACAAGGTGTCACAAAAGAAAATTTACGCGGTCTTTTTTACCACAAAAATAAACTAGGCATCGCCGAACGCTCATTCTCCGCCAAAAGGTAGAGCTAGAGGTCACAACCAGATGCCAAAGTTTCAGCCCGATTTGATAACTTAATCAAAAGTTATAAGTGATTTTCTGAAAATTTCAATGGGAAAATGGCGGCCGACGGACTTTTCAAACACATGGGGCTCTATGAAACCAGAAACCGAAAACAGGAAGAAAATGGGCTCCATTTTCCCATTGAAATTTTCAGAAAATCACTTATAACTTTTGATTAAGTTATCGAATCGGGCTGAAACTTTGGCATCTGGTTGTGACCTCTAGCTCTACCTTCGGGCGGAGAATGAACGTTCGGCGATGCCTAGTTTATTTTTGCGGTAAAAAAGACCGTATAAATGTTCTTTTGTGACACCCTGTATATATATATATTTTTTTTTTTTTTAATATGCGAGACGAGACCCACGAGACGACGAGAGCGTGAAACGCAAGAAGGCGGGAAAACCATGCAAGACTGGATGGACAATTGATGCAGGGTACTTTGTGTCGGGCAGCCGCTTGCGCCACATAACACACGCATGGTCAATTTCGGTACTCAGTTTAGTGTCGGTTTTGAAAGGCGACCGGTCTTTTGGCGCAGGTTTGGCGCAGATTATCTATATTGTGGCAAAATGTAGCAGGATGTAGCAAGGTTAGCCCCTTGGCGCAGTTTGGCGCAATTGGCGCAGCAATCACATCACTGTGATAGGAACCCGTGGCTAAGCTAACGCAGCCCGCAAGCATCTCGTAACTGCGAGGCCCTGTTCCAAAGCCTCGAGCGCTACAAGCGTCATAAATTATAGTTTCACATCGTTGAATAATTTCCGCTCGAAAAGGAGCTCTGCTCATTTAACGTGTTCGCACATTTTGCACTATTCTGTTTTCTTTTGAACTGAGTATTGAACTGTCTAAATATTTGCTTCTCTTTCTCATGTATATAAACCGAAACGACAATACCACTACTAGGCTACAAGCGCGAGCTCCTTGCTCAAGGAGGCGCTTCGGCTGCACAAACTTTCGCTCAGCAGGAGCGATTGCTTAAGTTATAAGTTATGATCTCGGGTTTCTAGCTGTCAAAAATACCTTTAAAATATAAGTATTTCCTTATAATACTGCTATAAAAATCATCAGGAAAGTAAGAACTGCCGCATGAAATGGCATTTTTTCGTGCCTGTTAAAGTGAATTGTGCGACAGGGCAAGGAGCAAAAGTAGTCGTAATACTATGCAAATAAAAGCTAACGACAGTAAAACTACGAGCTTACAAAAAGCAGAGACCACAAGGTTCCTCCTCTAGAAAATCTCTGGTGTGTCGATAAGACAGTTGGCAGCTTGGCAACGTAAAACACCATGGGGTTTTTTTGTTTCTTCTTTTTTTTTTGGGGGGGGGGAGGTTCTGTTGAGATCCCTGAGATATTGCCAACGCAATGGCAGAGCACACTGAGAATGATCAGAGAGATCGGAGAGTGTCCTTCATGATAGGAAAATGCAAAAAATCGCTAAGTGCAAGGTTATTGGAGTAGGGAGTGGGAGAAACGGGTTCAAAGTTTTTTCGTTGCAGAAAATTTCGAAAAAGCGCAGCCCAATGATTTTAAGCACTACTGTGATGAAAAACCACGGTTGTGACCCTTTCCGGTCGTTTTTCTTTCCAACGCAGGAAGAAATTTTTGTCTTCCATAATGTCTCTGCAGAATGCAGCCTTCACAGTTGCGCCCTTTGGAACGGACCCTACGGAAATGTCAACTGCAGAGGCAATCCCTTTCACTGTCAACCACTGGTACCCCATAACCACTTGTTCCATTAGTGTAATCATGCTGTCGGATTTGCTGGTGTGTGACCAATCACTTCTGCACAATGTTCGGCCATCTTTGAACTGTCAAATCCACAAACAAACAGTTTTCACGCCAAGACGTCTCCTCCGCAAGTTTCACTGAGCTGAGGAACGTCGGAAGGCATCATCCTACGCAGGGGCAGTAAACTTAACGTAACACACAAGTATCCGAAGGTGAACATCGCCATTCCTAGTGTCCGACACGCTGGTCGGACCAGGCAGCGCCACAAGCGTTCAATAACCCTGTCAACATTGCCGCGTCTCTTTCTCTTCTTCCCAATGAAGCCCAGCATCGTTTAAAATGCCTCGCATGCTACTACCCGGTCACGTTCCGGAGAAAAAAATAATGAGACCTTACAACAAACTTGAAGGCCCCTCCGCTAATCTTTACATGGCCCCTTTTAGAATCTCCGATCTCACCTTTCCCTTGAGCAGGTGGTAGTCGATGCACTCTTGGCGGGGCAAGGAAACCAGGGCCACCATCTGGTGCGAGGCAAGCAGGCTCTCCGCCCTCCTCACCTCGTCCACAATCGCATCTCTCAGCTGACCGACGATCTCAAGGTCGGGTCTGCAGAGAATCCACACGGAGGACGTCAAAAGGGTGCAGCCCTGCCGTGCACGCAAAGACGCAGGTTCAAAGTGCAACAGACCCTCTCCATCCCCAGTGGCACACTGCACTCACCCAGGGGTTTTCAAACGTTTGGATCTTGAGGAACCCTTATTTGCCTCGAATGGTAGCTGAGAAACCTCTTTCGGGTCTCAGCATTGATCCACTAAAACAGCGCAGAAGCTTACAGTCCTTGCAAACAATAATAAACATATACAAAGGAGCTTTTGGCACATTATACATCACTGGGCGGCTGAGGCCTGCTAAAATAGTGCTTTAACTGGAAAAATGCTTTGCTTAGGGGAGGGACGGCTGAGGAAATTTGGGAGCTCGGAGAACCCATAAGGGCACTCTGGGGAACCACTGTATTCCTAGCAAACCCAGTTTGAGAACCCACGCACTAACCAACCATTGGATGAATGAATGCTAACGGCTATACCCTTTATACCGGGCGGTAGCTTGCGCCACCTAGTGTAGAAAGCAAAAAAAAAAAATTCGGGCTCCAATCCACGCAGTGAAAGTGGTTGGACAGCGAAGCTGTGGCATCACCTGCAACCATTGCCCACTGCACTATACCAAATGCCGCCGCTGGTCGCAGTATGCCACCACTGGTCGTACTGCTGTTTTTGTTTTCCCTTTGCCGCTCCTTGTATTCACGCTGCTCCTCGGGAGTCTTAACTATGCGTGGCCTATCCATAGCGGTGCTGCAACAATGAAATCAAATGCTATACTCGTAGCGTCCGTTGAGTTCGGATGTAAGGTGAAACGGAGTATAGGCGGCTTCTTCTTTTATGTATGAAAGTCTAGTGACGTCACTCCTCACGTCGCAAGTTGCCATTGCCGCGGGAGCTTGCGCAACAGTAATCTTTACCAGAAATCTATGCGGTGAGTGCTACGTCCTTTGCATTGTTATCAGGAATGCCTTATCAATTATCTGGTTCGGATGCTTGTTTTGTGCTTGTTCTTTATTGAAACAAATGTTGTGCTGTATGTTGTATGTATGATGTATGCACTTTGCGCTTCAATCACTGAAAAGTTTTTTGTTTTTTTGGGCTTTTTTTTGTGAGGACGCCGACACAAAAATGTCTCGACTAATGAGCCAAATACAGCTTCGCCATAAAAATGTGATTCCTCCCCTCGCCTTTCTACGTCAATTTCCTTCCTCTCTACATTTTTGTAACTACCACAAGGCAGTGTAAGATATCACCAGCATGAGCAGTTAGCAAGCAGTTGGTACCATTGTGGCTAGGCCAGCCAATGGACGCTGCCACAGTTTTTATTGATGGCCCAAAGTTGTTTACCCCATGGCCAAGTAGGCCGCTTTGTCTCGGTTCAACTAACAACCAACTGTTGGAAAACACTCGAAACAACTTTTAAATTACTGCAAGAACCTCCTTTTTGCAAATTTCGCAATAAAAAAAAAAAAAAAGATAATGCTAATAGAGGGTTCCACAGTAACGAATACATAGCATACCACTCCCACTTGCGAAATATTCCTTTGCGAAATTCACAAAATATCAAGCCACCAAAAATGAAGTCGTTTACAGTAGTTGATACTACTAGTAGTTGGCTAATGTCACAATGCCAAGAAGTTTATTAGGGTGAATGTATAGAATCTGGATCTTTATATGTAGGTAGGTTTATTTAAGTGCCACCAAACGAAAAAAAAAAACAAAAAAAACATGTGATACAACACGGACAGCAAGTGTTCCGAAATCCGTCTTTGGGGCATCAGAATACAAGAAATGACAATCAAAGAGAAAGGTAGAGAACAGGCAGGGAACTCGTGATAATTTCGTGGCCAAGCCTACGTCGTAATTGGTTGAGGTCAAGTGAAAAGAAAAGCATGCGGGCGCATCTTGAGAGTAAACTAACGCACAATGTGCGCAAGGAGCAGAAAAACTTACAAGCCGTATGTAAACCACAGAATGCACCAGTGAACTTTATAACTAGGGTTCCGATTTTTCGGTTTAAACCGATAAAAACCGATATAAGTACGCCGGATCCATTTTCAGAAATTCGGTTTCAACCGAAAAAGGTCAGTTTGTAGGTTCAGCATTTTTGTTTTAAACCGATAAAAACAAATAAAAGTAGTAGAATCCATTTTCTAAAATTCGGTGTTAACCGAAAAAGGCCACTTTGACCTTGTAGTCGTATCACAGAGCCGTGGCGAAAAAGTGGAACGACAGTGTCTATCGAAACGTGTCCGAATGTATGGGATACACGGATGCCATCACGACGTTATGGTTTAATGTGATCGGAACGTGAAGTCCAACATGCCCAATGACTTTGCCATGTACGAGCCTGTTTTCAAACTCGTTGTAAGGGACACTGACTTGATGAAAGCTCTGCAGCCAGAGTTTAGTGAGTACACGAAATATGTTGTGCTTGAAAACGTCGCGCCGTGTCTCTTTTGGCGGTCAGATTTGGTTGATTGGCCGATTTTGGCTCGGGCAGTGCTTCACCTCCTCAGCCTGCCAGTGTCCAGTGTTATTCTCAAAGCTCAGGGTCATATTAACAGGAAAGAAAGAGTGCGGGTCAAAGAGAACCTGGGAAAGTACATGTGTGTTTACTACAATAAGATCATGTAATGCTGGTGTACAGAAGGTGAAGTACCGTGTTTTTTGGGCATAGGCTTCATTTCTGACTTGTCTGTACTTCTGTTGTTGTCTTTCCTTGTTTCGTTTACGGTTGCACACATCTGCCAAAACTATTCATTTCTTTTTCAATGTATCTGTGCCGTTATTCTTTGAGTGATCACAAGTATCAGAGCTACAAGGATCGTCTGATTTGGTGTCCGTTGGTGTTTATTTCATATTCACCCAAAAAGACGGTCAACCTTCGTGGGCATAAATATACACCAAAAAAAAAATGGAAATTGAATTTCAAAATAAACACCAAAAAAAGTATGCCGAATTTTGAAAAAATAAAAACCAAAAACGTGGAACCCCATTTATAACCAATGTGAGGAAATCAGACATCCTGCTTTTCAAAATATTGGGGAGTTATTTCAGCAATGCATCGAAGTATCTCACATACAGTACAAAGAACCACAATGAAAACAAATTTTATGTCGGTACCTCACATCAGTTTCTAAAATACAATTTTTGAGGGTGTAAAGTACCGAGCGTCGGTATCGAAGGGCTATGCAGAATACAGTCCGGCACAGCACGGCGAAATTAAAGTGGAACCGTCATAAAGGCCCAGATACGGAGGCGCATGCTCAAACGCTGCAGACTGCTATACTCGCAGACAGCAGGGGGATCGGTGGCCGAGTGGTCTAGCGCACACCAGCTCGGAGCACGTGGAGCGAAAGCTCGCGCTGCAGAACCCAGGGATCCTGGGTTCGAGCCCCACCCCTGCCCGTTTCGATCTGGATGAGCATCGCACCGGCGTGCGGTCGTGTATCACTACTGCGTGATGCACGTTAAAGACCCCAGGCTAGCGGCTGTACCGCACTGGCTAAATTTCTCATCTACAGCTGGGAGACTCGTCGCCCCTGTGAGGCAGACCAAGTTCTAGGCTGTATAAACACACACACAACCCAATCTTTTTTTTTTTCGCAGACAGGACAACAACGGCAGGGAAATCTGCAGCTGTCCTGCCTCCAGCAAAAGCTTCCTACCTTTGACACCACACCTACAGCTTCCTACCTTTGGCGTCTTGTGAGCCTGAAATGTCCATGTGTCGCCAAAGCACAATAAAAGACAACGAGCACATGACCCCTTCTGAAGCTAACGGCTAGGCAAGTTCTTCTTTGTTCAGAGGTCAAGCTGGGTAACTCACATGGCCTCTTGCGAGCCACGTGCCAAAGCGGCAAGCGAGCCGCTGTACTGGGCATGGCGGGCCTTGTACTCCTTCAGGGCACGATGTAAGTTCGACAGCTCCGTGAGGGTGTGCTCCTGCAAGACAGAGAGTAACCTCAGCAGTCAGCCAACACATCCTTTCAACTAAGCAAGTTTCAACAGCCAGAATATCAAGAAGGGGTGGAGAATGGATGCTTTGGCTCCACTACCTTCATCGCACCCAACTGGAGCAGAGCAATGGGCTGGGCACGTATAAAAACTCCCAGAGATGCCATGCACAGGACAAAAGTGTGTTATGCTCAGGGTGATTACCCTTGCGCACACAGTCAAATGCCCTGATAACAAATGCCATTACCATGAAAATGCCCATTTGGTGAGGTAGAACAAAGCTGTGATGCCCTCGGTGATACCACGAAAAGAAGGGCCATTCGAGTAAATGTGCCAAGCCAGAATACTTTTTACCAAAGTCAGTGATGGGAGCGGCATTTCACTTTTTGTAGCAGGAAAAATATTAGTTTGGAGCAGCCACTGACACTTTGAAGTAGATGCCAACATTTGTTAGCACATCACTTGAGAATGAAAAAGTGATTTTATGATAGTGATTAAGGGTTCCTCTTTCATATTTCAGCATATGGTTTAATTTACAATGAGTATTTAAAAATGGTTGAAAAGAGAATCATAGTGCAACACTTCATTGGGATAAATTCTTGCTCCCCTCTTCATTCTACACTCGGTAGTTTGTTTAGCCTTTAAATATAATTTCTGTAAAATAGCAGGAAGAACCAGCATATCTGCTAACACGTCTACCAATAAAAATGCATCCCATAAGTTTAATGAACCTAACAAACTCAAGACTCCTATATCATGAACTGCAAAAACCACCCAAAAATATTTTATAAAAATCTACGCTTGTGCTTTAGTTGTGAATCAGCTCTTTAGCGGCGTAGGAACCAGAGTTAGTTATGTCAAAGGTCGCTGCTCTTTCGATCGCCAGCTGCACGGGAACTCAGCTCTAGCCGGTTGATTTGCAGCATCAAAGTGAGACATGATGGCATTCGTCATCTCCTTGCACAAGTTCTTTCATCGGCCGAACCAATCAAGTGCAGCAAATGTTTGTGGTTGTGTCCAAGCCTTCAACTGTGCTCCGACCTAAAATGAAACTAACTATATGAAGAGTAGAGACGCTGTGAAATTCATATTAATGCAAAAGCATTATATGCCCCCTTACGCGAAAATCCAGCGGCGGCAGCGCCGTGACCGAGCGATGGTACCAAAAATGGCCGATGGTGCAAAGATTGAAAACTTGTCAAAAATGCTCGGATTAACATCAAATTTCTCAGAGAGATTCCTGTAAACAAAGTAAATTAATAGCTTTGAAAAGAAAACTTAATACATTTGGGTCTGGGCGGGAACCAAACCTGGGCCTCCGGGGTGCGAGACGAGCACGCTTCCCCGACGCCACGGCGGCTTCACGGTTCTGGCTGACTAAAGGTGTGCCTAGTGCATGCGTCATTGCACACGTCCCGTCGCAGCCATCTGGCTGACTAAAGGTGTGCTCTAGTGCGTGTGTCATTGGGCATGTGACGGCGCAGCCAATGGAGAGAAAGTGGCGCCACGTTACAAATGTATAAAATGAGCGTGCTGCCTCCTGCGCGTCACTAAAGGTGACACCCAAGGCCAACGGCTGCGAAACACTTCCCTTGCTTTCTCTTCTGCAATACTCTCTTAGTCTCTCCCGCGCATCACTTGCTCTTCGGATTTTCATTGGTGCTGTCTCTACTGCGATGGACTCTGAAGTATTTACCTCAGCGGCAGCTGTGAAATGTGGTCGCCCACGAAGGTATGCCTCAGAAGAAGCAAGGGAACATAGTAAAATTCATCGTTTTGCGGCAAAATGGTCCGAATATTTCCAGTCTGTGGCCAAAGTATACACAAACACACACACCGAATCAGTAGAAAGAACTTTAATGCACATCGAAAACATCAGTCGAAAACATTTTACCAAGAGGATTATAATGCTTTCGCATTCCCACACGTACCGTAAAAACCCGCGTATAGCCCGGGTTTTTTTTCTAAATTTTAGGGTGTGAAATTTCGGCCCCGTACTATATGCGAATCTCAAAACATTTCGGCCCGAATTCACAGTTTTGGTTTCGGTTTCGGCATTGAGGGGTGCTAACATCATCATTAGGTGTCTGCGCGCTTCTGCGTTAGGTAGCGTTAGTGGTGTTGGTGGCGATAGTCCTAGAGACCTACAGGACAGGCGTGCAACAGTGGCCATTGCAATCACTTGGCACACATCACGACGGCCACAATTTTCTGTGATTTTACATCATGTCAGGACCGCGCAGGCAGTACTCGGCTGCTTTTAAAAGAAAAGTTATATCTGCTGCCGAAACCATTGGCAACTGTGCTGCGGAGCGGCAGTTCGGCGTGAACGAGCAGAGCATTCGCGGTTGGCGGAACCAGAAGGAAGCCCTTTTTGCATGCAGCGGCCAGAGAAAAAGTTTCCGGGCACCGAAAAATGGAGCGCTTCCCGAAGTGGAACAAGAACTGACGGACTTTGTTCGGGAGTAACGAGCTGCACATCTCGCGGTGAACATCGAGCTGCTGCAAGCAAAGGCAAGGGAGATCGCTCCCTTGCCTCGCCACGGGCCTCGCCAGCCCTGCTCTGCGCATGGATCGCCGAGACGTGGGCCTGCATTCTTGAGGCGTTGGTTTGTCGTGCCTTTAAAAAGTGCTCCATTTCAAACGCGCTTGATGGCATGGAGGATGAGGTGCTGTGGGAGAACATTTCCGACGAGGGAACTTCGGAAGAGAGTGCATCAGACGAGGACGACGAATAAGGTGTAATGTAAATAAATGCATTTTTCTGTTTTTCTTCAACTATATTCACGTGAAAACGTTTTTTCTCGCGTTTTCTATCCCCGAATTACACCTCGGACTGTATGCAGATCCGAACTATACGCGGGTTTTTACGGTAAGTAGTGTCTGCCGAATTTTTTGTACAATGTTTCTTTCCTTCTACTTCTTTGAATATTAGGGTCGACAAAATATAAAATATTAATTTTTTTGCTTTAAAGGGCAACTCCGCTTCATTTTTGGTTTTGAAAAAACAATGCAGTCCTCTTCAGTATCGCCTAGGAAGACCACACATCAAATATTACGGCGCAGTTCTGTCAAAATGTTTCTTAAACGGTCGGGCAAATTTTGCAACTCGCCAAGTTGCCAAAATCGGCTGACTCGAGCGGGCGAATTGAGGCGCAACCAACAGCGCAGTCAAGGCTACGCCACGGGCGTAGCCAACATTGAGCTAAACGTCATCACTATTGCCCTCTTTTGCTTGTTTTTACTTCTCCGGGCGAGCGTAGCACATGACATAAGCAACGTTACCTCTCGGTGCTCAGCGGTGTCCACGTGGTTGGCGTAACGCGCCTGCACAGCGCGCTTCTTGGGAGCCGTTTGGCCGCCCGCGGTGGTCCCGCCGTTACCGCCATCTTCTGCATCACAACCGCCGTCGTCGTCTCACCATTTGTGATTACTGTCTCTCGGATTTTCATCCACACTACAGACACCACGTGCGCAGACTTATGCCGCAGTTGTGCAGACGTCATTGAATGTCGGATATACCAAAATGTGTCTAAGAGTGCGGTGCATACAACACTTGCCCCTGGCACACGCCCGCCCCAATCCCGCCTGTCCTCGGGCCGCAGATCATGTGACATCTCGTACCATGTGATGGCCATGTTCTTGGCGACCCGAGGCCAATGTTGCGAAACGGAGCCGAAGTTTCGGTTTCCGCTAGTGTTCAAAATTATATTTAAAAAAATACAATCTAAGCTCATTACAACAGACCTGGTTACAACATACATTACGATATAACATACCGATTCGTGAAGTTCGGCTGGTTTTCCTCTACACAAAATTGACTCAATTTCATCTCTGCATACAACATACCCCTTTTACAACAGACCAAATTCTTAGTCGAAATCAAGGTCTGTTATAACGAGCTTAGACTGCATATCCCATTTTTTGCGAAGCAAACGACATAGCGTCTTTTACTAGGACTTTTTGGTTCTAAATCACTCATTATCCCGAAATCTTTGGAATCAAGCGGTGTTGCCCTTTAAGCACATCTCGGCACAGGTATGGCACAATTCTTAACAAAAATGGCATTGTGGTGCAAGATGTAGCAGACTCATTCATGGCGCGATTGGGCACAAATGGTGGCATTGTAGTGCAAGATGTAGCAGACTCATTCAAGGCACGATTTGGCACAAATGGTACAGCACTTCCATCACTGCAAATTACAAACAAAAGGAAACATTCCATAACAAACTGTGTGAAAAACAATCCGACGGTGAGGACGATAAACTGAATGCTGCCAACATAAAATCCAAGAGCACAACATTACCTCCCCCTTACAAAAAATGCATTCAAGCAAACAAAACTTATCAGAACTGATAACTGCAATAGCACAAGTAAGAAAATATCTTCACACTGTGAAAGCACGAGAAAGAAAATGTCAGCATCAAAAAGCCGAGGCCCATTTCCTCCGAGTTCAATGTGCTACGACTACCGCAACTAATTCATGTTTAACAAATACAGAACCTCACTGATATGTTTTTGAGGGGACCGGGGAAATAAAACATAAGATCCAGGAAAACGCAAGGAACGAGAATGCCATTCGGGGAGCGCTAGAGGTGAGACTGGTAGCAGGTGTCACAAAACAATTAATTTTCTTGCAAACATTCATAAGTGTGAACTCAAATAGGCTCAGAAAAAATAATAAACATACTGTAAAAGTTTGCAGGCGCGATCTCAAACACGTTTAGAAAAAGTTTGTAAACATTCATTGGGTGTGAATTCAAATACGTTCAGAAAAAAAAAAAGTTGGGGTTCCAATCCACACAGTGAAGGTGGTTGGTCAGCGAAGCTGTGGTATCAACTGCAACGACTGCCTACTGCACTATACGAAATATCGCCGCCGGTCGCAGCACGCCGCCGCTGGTCGTATTGCCGTTTCTTTTCCCTTTGCCGCTCCTCGTATTAACGCTGCTCCTCGGGAGTCCTAACCATGCGTGGCCTATTCATCGCGGTGCTGCAGCAACAATGAAATCAGCTGCTATGCTCCGTTTCATCTTACGTTTACGCGCAGCAGATTTTACGAGCCATCGGAGCCAATCGGAGGCCGTGCGAGTGTCATGTGACCTTAGAGAGGGGGCACAGCGACGCGCGGAAAGCATACCACGGGCCACACCCACAGAACGGGATTGGCTAAGATAGCTCGTAGCATCCGCTGCATCCGGCATAAGGTGAAACGGGGTATAGGCGGGTTCTATTATATATGAAAGGCTAGTGATGTCACTCCCCACGTCGCAAGCTACCATTGCCGCGGCAGCTTAAGCAACAGCAATCTTCACCGGGAACGTATGCAGTAAGCGCTACGTGCTTCGCATTGTTTTTAGGAGCTCCTTATCATTCATTATAGGGTTAGGATGCTTGTTTTGTGCTTATTCTTTATAGAAACGAATGTTGCGCTGTATGTTGTATGCGTGGTGTTTGTACTTTTCGCTCTGAAGTCTTTTTTTCTGTGAGAATGCAGACACGAAAACACACGCGGGGAGAAGGAATGTGCTTCGCATTGTTATGTGGTTTGCACTTCACATGAGGGCTTCGAATGACGTCCACCCCTTCCGAAGCAGCTGTAAACCTAATCTTTACCAGAACGCGTGGGAGGGTGTTCCTATTGTTCAACGCGCCTTATCATCCATCATGTGGTTTTGACACTTGTTTTGTGATTTTCTTTATTGAAACAAATACTGAGCTGTATGCTCTAAGCCTGATTTCAAAGGAGATATGCTGTTTAGCCTTCAATTGTTTGCCGGGAGCTTTTTGCTTACAACGCGAACGACACAAAAATTTTCTTGGCTGGTAGAGATAAACAGCTTCGCTGTAAGAGCTCACAACTTCCACCTGGTGCTTTGGGTGACTGAAAGACGGGCGAGCGACTGGGCTTGCGGAGGTGTGTTTGCCAACGTCCTCGTTGGTTCGCCTTCATGCAATCGTGCACAACACCTGAGTACACCAAAGCCACAAAAGATGCCTTGCTGCATGACATGCTGTAAAACATGTGTAGGAGAGATTGCAGCATGCTAAACGAGCTTTGGCAGAAGTTTCTTTACATGGACCCGGAGGAGTACTACCAGAACCTGCAGTGCGTCAGCAGGGCGAAGTTCTTGCAGCTTTCCTCATGTGTGGTGCGTGTGCAACCAAGAACCGTGCAACATGAGCCAGCAAACAAACAAAAACAAAACAAAGCACAATGATGCACCACGTAGCATTTTGCCCGATCCTTCAAAGGTCATCCTGAGGATATCCCAGACCGCCTGGTGATAGGTCCAAAAATGCTGAGGGGAAGCAAACTGGCTTAGAAGGGCGAGGGGAGGAATCATACTTTTGATCTCTAGGCTAGGTGGCACAAGCTACTGCCCGTTATAAAGGGTACAGCCATTAGCATCCATCCATCCATCCATCCATGACAAGCAAAACAAAGATGGCACATTGTTTCCTTTCGCTGATCCGCTGTTCGCTGATTCATTCTTTGTCGCGTGATTCTTGGTTCCACGAATGAAGAAAGCTGCAGAAACTGTTCCCAGCTGATGCATTGCAGGTTCCGGTACTCCTCCAGGGGCTCTAAGCTGGACGCTTGGCGAAAACGACGGCGAGAAATCTGGCAGCCGCGATTGGCCAACGGCACACTTGACCTTGGTGCCGGCCAATCATAGCCGCCGAAATTTTCGCCGACTTTTCCGCCAACTGTCCAGATTAGGGCCCCAGGTCCGTGTCAAGAAGTTTCTGTGAAAACTTGTCTAGCAGGCCGCGCTCTGTCCGGAACATCCATTCAGCTTCTCATTGTTCAATCCAAAACGGTTTTGGATTTTGTAAGATATCTCCCATGTAACCAATAGACTTCATGTTATTATTTTTTTCTTGTACTTTTGTGCTATTTGATACGAGTATTAGGTGTCATTATAGTCCATTTTTGTTATTATGTTCTGCAGGTCTATTACACTGTCTATTTTCTTTTTTTTGTACTCACTCCTATCATAGTCCCCGCTGGGGGACTGATAGTATTATGAAATAAATAAATCCGGCAAGGCCAAGACCCAACGAGGTTGGGAAAGACCTTTTGTGCCTGTGGTGTACTGAAGTGTTGCACGTGAGTACTTGAGGATGAAGACATGGGCAAACACCCCTTCACAACTCCAGGACTCCATCGCTTCTACTCCCCTCGAGCAGGATCACAAATATGTTATGCCTTGGGTTAGTAAAGGTAGTGGCACTTCACGCTAAGCATCTCACAATGTTCTGTCTTGCGCGGCATATAAGAACAGCACACAACGATTCTTTTTCGAATTAATGCGCTAGCACCTCGGCTGTAGCGACAAACATCGCACTTGGACGCCGGTTCCACTGTGCAGTCGTTAAGTGGTTTGGTCAATCCTCGATCATTGTCCCTCGTCTCCCTCTCCGTGTGAATGCGCTTGGGAGGCCGACAATCCGCGAACGTGTCATCACGCGATCAATCCATCCGCAAATCGGTCCATCGTGTGAATCGGCTGGCATCACCAGCGCTATGTCGGCAGCTTTTTGAACGCAACCGGAAAAGCAAACATACTAAGCAGGAAATTAATACACGGGTTCCTATAAGAGCTCAGCGGGACTGGCGATTCTGAACGTAAAAGCCAGGAAAATGCAAAAACCGGGAATGCATCGACGAGGTTCCACAGCATAATACATCGCCCCACAAGACATAAATGACTGCTATTACGAATTTTCTAGCTAAAAGCTAACCGATTTCACTCCTACAACAAAGCGACTTGTCCAACGAAAAGTTCAGTGCGTCCCACCGACTCTGTTACAATGGCATTTGACTGCACTTGGAGGAACTGCAAGCCTCCCAAAAAGAAGAGAAAAAGAGACGCCTGCCCACCCCAGAGTCCTCGTCCGGTTGAGCCTCCTCCGTGATGGTCGACTGCCGGCACAACCTGCGAGCCTCTCTGTCGGCACCGGGACTCTCCGGGGCGCTCTCGGTACCCCTGGCAAGAATGCGTCGGACCGCACGGCGCCAGCGGGCCCGCATGCTCTCCGATGTGAGCAGCACCAAGCCAGAGTCCAGGTCGAAGCTGAATGTCTCGCGCCCCAGAACCAGCTTCTTGCGGTCGGGCTCCTGGTCCTCGGCCCCCTGGCGCTCGAGGAACTCGCGGTTGGCCGGCTCCAGGATGCTCTCTGAACTGCCGCGGCTGGCACTGCTCAGCAGAAGGCTACTCGTGGCCCGCGCCAGCTTGGCTGTGGCCGCAAACGACCGGCTCTTTTGGTTCTGCTCCATCGCTTCCATGATCTTAGATGCAATGGCCGACGGCGGTGTGCCCGAGTGCATGGGTGCTGTGGGGACAAAGGAAAGCGTCGGAGGCTAAGTTCCTCGCTGTGCCCGCTCTTGTATCGCTGGACCGAGGGAGGGAACACTACCCGTCAGAGCACTGGTGCTACCGATCCAATGAGTGCGTCTGTGGTCCCCAAGATCATGCTTCCGTCTGAAAAGCTTCGCGTCAACCTGCTACCTACATAGCGTTTTAAATAAAAACGAAAGCAGCCTCCCGAAAGACAACGACAAGTATTATAAATTGACCAAGTTCTTCCGCTTTGTCCTCGTCCTTTTGGTGCTGTCTTAGTTTTAGTCCAAGTCACGAACAAACTCGAGTTTCTACTTCGCGGTGCTAGCAGTAGCGATGCACAGCGGCAAAAGACACTCGGCGACAGTTGTGCCGCTTTGTGGAACTCTGCCCTCACGCAGACCGCAACAGCAGCTGCAGTACCCCACCAGCCCCTCCGATCGGTGGCACTACCTCATCCGGTCCAGCGGCCTCAACCATGCATGACCAAGAAGGAGTGGATGCAAACAGACATGCAGGCTAGAAAGCTCCGGTTGATCATACCCGGGAAGAGTAACCAGGCACGCTGACTTTGTATATCTACAAACACACACGCAATTGTCCACGTCCCCTCTATTGATGGCGACTGATCACAATCGCAAGACAGCCAAATTGTCAGCTTAAGCTGCCCAACTGCCAGTTTAACAACACCAAGCCGCACCTCTGGCACTGAAGAAAAGAGAGTGCCTTATCAAGGTGCTCGAGATAGAAGTAATATGTGGCACCGCAGCACTGGAAACACAAAAGCTTCGTGCCACTGTCACACCAACAGAGCCGAGCGCAGAAGGCGCAAATAGGATAGAGTCTCGGAGATTGGTGGTCGTACCACTCGAGTGACAACAAGAGTCAGACCTTCGAATTACGACCTAGGACTTTAGAACATGCAAAAATTTGCCGCCCCTTTGGCATACATGCTTAACCGTTGAAGAGATTTGTGCTCAACGTGCCCAGGCCCAGTGCCAAAGCACCCTGGAGCCAGTCGGGTGATCAACCCGACAGGAAGAGAGAAAAGACAGCTTGTTAGGCGTCCAGGCAAGAAAGGAAGCCGTCTGCCATGCAGAGAAACCAGCCCAAATACTCACACGTGGCTTGAAAAGGAACAGCTCAGTCCAGGAAGGCTTAGGCAAGCTTCCAAGCTCAGCTACCGTGCCAAAAAAGCAGACACAAAAGCGGACACTCAACAGGATTAAAGCATTTTACTACAAATAGCAACAGTGCTGCTACTGCAGGTACATGTTAGAGGTCAGAAATGGGGAAGGTTAGTCACTTCTGCATGAAATGTGGGCAGGAGAGAACTGCAAGCAGAAGAAACACATGGGTATCCAAAAACACCTATTATTTAGGCATTTTCTCTAAAATCCAACACAGATGAGCTGCATGCAGTCACAGCTAAACAAACCGATACACTCAAGGCCGGTTCACGCAGCACCGTTTCCTTACGTTGTGTTATGTTACGAGAACTTATGTCTGCTTACGTCAAGAATCACTGGGATATCCGTGCTTCATACGAAGCGTGGCGACCAATTTAAGGAGTCGCTCTGCATGCGAAATTCGAAGCATGGATGTACCGATGACTAATAATGTAACGTAAGAAAATGCGAGTAAACGCTGCTGTGTAAATTGGCCTTCAATCTTAATAATGGCCATCAGCAACAAATGCAAACACATCACATGGCAAATGGAACAATTCCTCAAAACATATTGTCTACTATAGATATGTTTCGACAAGAATGAATGATGATCCTCAGCTCTCATCCTTGTAGACTACATCAGAATAAACAGTACCATAGTAGTAAGGTGGCAATGCTCGCAATCTGATACCAAACAATCGTTGTTGCAAAACGACTAACATTATGGGCAATACAATTATAAAATGGCTGAAAAATAGACTGCTCTGGTACACAAGAAAGGATTCACCCACAAGAATGTGTGGTCTGCCAAGCGAAGCTGCCAGTCAATCAAGTCACGCTCAGGTAGCTTTCAGTAAAGAAAATGAGAGGGCATGCCAGACAAAAGCAGGAGGAAATTGGTACAATTCTGATCAAATCAGAAAATTTCAGAAAAACCATGTTGTTTTGGTATCACATGCATTTAAGTTTCCAACCCTTTAGAGGACTAGCTTAGCAAAGAACAAAAAACAGAGGGCATTGTGAATAACCCTAGCTGAGTAACGTTTCAACATTTCATCAACCTTCGACCTACCCAACTTCGCATTAAAGGAGCTGGCAACAATTTCAGGGCTTTGCTTAAATTATTGTGGAAGTTGATGCCCGACATTTCTGAAGTGAACTACAGAAAACGGATTTTGCCAGGATACCCTAGTTTTTATTTTAAAAAAATGAAAAAGATCTAGGTTTTTGCCACCTCTCAACTCGTACGTCGTCTTCCGGGTCACGTGTCGTTGATAGGGTAAGCGCGGGGTTCCGGAAAAGTTTTCTCTTTAGAGCCATCAGTGAGCAGCGAGAACTCATCCGCTCGCAACCGCGTGACCACGTGCTGGCGGGCGCCGCGCGAACAATATGGTGAAAGGAGGAAAGTCTAATCCAAGTCCGGCCATGCCCGTTTGGCCCTGTCCCTCTCCCCCTCCGGCTTCTGGCGGCTGTTCGCGGTAGCAGAGAGAGTTGACGGTTTTGTGGACCTAGGATAGAGGGCGCCACTAAAACTCCGTATAATAAAAGTTTTGTCGATGATACCAGGTTTTTGACGCATTTATATATATGTTGGAACGACAAGATTTATAGAAAAATTACCTTTTAACGAGCAGGTATTCGCAAAACTTGCCATCTTTCTACAAGATTCCCCATTGACCTCACGCCGCGCGTTTCTCATGGCCGCCGCTCGCGGCTGCAGGTCGGGGAGTATTCAAGTTTTGCCTCGCTATTACGTGGCGGAATCGCAACATTTCGATGAAAGGAGGTGTGTTTTCTGTCATTTGTGACAAGGTGAACAATATCAAAAGCAGAAGACGCAAATTCTTTCAACGTTAAAATCGTTGCACAGCTCCTTTAAGTCGCAAATTTATTTGGCTTTCTAAAAATATCTATCAATCTAAACAGATTCTTAAAGATCAATTGCTCCTTCACCCATCATACGTGCCATCTCATACCGATCATCAGTTTAAGGTTAAGACACCAACCTGTCGAACAAACATTTATTTTGACTCCTTCATGCCGAGAACAACAAATGACTGGAACCACCTCCCTGCCTCCATTGCTGCCATTTCTGACGCCACAAACTTCAAGAAACATTGCAACGAATTCATTTGCTACCACCACTCCTCTCTGTAGCTCCTCCGGGCCTAGAGAATATGAAAAATAAATAAAGAAATGGGCAAGAATACTCCGCACCTGTACAACACTACCACAAAGCGTTGCAAGCAACATGTAGGCGTTCAGCACGCACAGCTCTGGCATAACTCAAGCCAGGCGCAGCTGTAGCAGCAATAAAATGCATTCCCACAGCTACAGGCCCCATATCACCTGCATAGGCGGCCCCACACACCACCGACTGCACCCTAGGCATCTTAGAACTAAGTTCAATATGTGTGGTTGCAAAACTCCAGCCCACCACCCGAATCTTGGTATCACCAGTGGACCCTGTCGGGCGTTTATCTCACCCACTCTTCCCCAGAGCAGCTCTTCAGAGGTGCCAAATGGTCGAGCGAACCCCATCGTATACTACAGCCACTAAACATTCCCAGAAAAGTGCAGTCCGTAGCGTTTGTACAGAGATCAACGATTGCTGTTTGCACACATACTGATGCCAAATAAGCGAGCTAAGCTGAAGATTACTCTGTCCCACCATTGTATTAACCGGTGCAAAACATGTGCAGAAGGGACTGTGCTTCAGAAGAGTAACAAGGCCATTGCAAGAGGATTGAATGCTTCTTCACACAAGACAAAACGCTACCTTCATTGAACCCTCACAGATGAACAGAAGAACAATGATACAGTCCAGGTAGCACATGGCATCAGTCAGGGCATCCCCTCGCACCGTACAGGGAAATTAAGAGGAAGGACTCTTCAGCCCTCCAAGCCTGACCTCAACATGACTGTCATTCATCTTTCTTGTCTCCTACATGAGGTGTTGTGCATGGCACATAGCTTCTCTTCCGTCCTGCTGGTCAAACTCAGACTTTCTATCAATTTGCACTTGTGGCATCGCAACAAAGGAAGTCAAGTTACTTCAAGAACAAACGAGATTCACATAGTACAGAATGTAGGTACATAGAATCCCAGACAGAAGGGGATAGACATACCTGGGGGGGGTGGGGGGGGGGGAGGTGCCTCAAGCGAGCTACAACTGAAGCACCAAAGAGACATAGAGCTGGAACAAGTCATGGTGAAGCTGAACAACCTTGTCACCCACAGCAAGTGTGTTTCACTTGAAACCAGCACCTTGGCATGCGAACCAAAGAGCACCTTAAATATTGTTGGAAGGCGTCCAAGCAGACACATAGCTAAGGTATTTCTTTTTTCAGGGGGAGGGTGCCAAAAAACATTTTCAAGTAGCATCCTGTCAGCCACAATGTAAATTAGGTGATTAGGTGTTGATGTCAACATGCATCCTGACTGTCAGTTCTTCAATCTTTGCTTCTCTCTTTTTTATTTTTTTATTTTCTTCGTTTGGAGGGTATGTGTTTTCAAGAGAGGGGAAAAGCAGGTGCTGCCTCTCCCCCCCCCCCCCCCCCCCCCCCCTCCATACAGCTATGAAACTGCATTCAAGGCACCTGGGGGATATAGACCCTGGGGGATATTAATGCCTATGGTGCTTTGCAAGGTGAGAGTTTCTTCCACCACTGTCTTGTAACAAGTCTTTTTTATGACAGGTTTAGTTAAATTTGTCTTCGCATTCACTGCTTCATGCTTCTATGCTTTCAAACCACGACAGGAAGTGATGCTCTCATCGGGCCAATGGATGCTTGGCACCCTCTATAGTATGCTTTTTGCACGA